GCCAGAGACTAAACCCCAAACCCTAAACCCTAAACCCTAAACCCCGAACCTCAATCCCTGAACCGGTAGTCGTCGCGCTTGGACGTTTCAAGGCTACTGCAGCCTCTTGTTCAGTACAGAGGTTAAGTGTGGGGTTAGGCTTTAGGGTTCAGGGTTTAGGGTTTAGGGATACAGGGATAGACCCAAACGCTATTCCCCTAAGCCCCGTGCCGCAGCGCCATTGCTCGAGAGCTCCATCTTGTCGGCCCTTCCTGTTGAAGTTCTCGACAGTTTGTCATGCAAGATGCCGCGGTGAAGGCACAGAGCCAAAAGGGTTTACGGTTTCGTGGTTTAAGGTTTCTGTTTTGGTCTTTCTGCGATAGGAAGCCAACATACAAAGGTGCGTGGTGGTATCGTACATCTTCGTGGAGTCATAGAACCATGCAGCCAAAGCACCCAGACGACTTTGGCTTATGAAAGGATGGCGCTATAGAACTTCGGACTTCACAGCTTTCACATGGCTACACCGAGGTCCTTGCTCTAAGTAAACAAAGTGCTGTGACCGTCCTTCAGAACAAAGGCCTGGACCCCGATACCCTTTCAAGCCTGAGCCCTAATCCTTCTTCGACCCGGAGTAGGCCCTTATTTCCTTCGTTTAGGGTTTGGGTTGCCTGATAAGCCCTGTTAAACCAAAAAGGGCACCCTATTTGTTCCTAGGTTACTCCTGGGTCTAGTCTTTCTTGCCTTCATGCTGACGTTTCGCGGCTTAGGGGTTTCGGTTTCGGGCCTCAAGTTCTGCGCTGACATTCAAACCCCAGAACCTCAGCCCCAAGCTTTTAGTGCCCTAATTACTTAGGGTTGGGGTTCGGGGTTTATGGTTTAGGGTATAAGGTATGGGGTTTAGGATTTAGGGTGTAGGGTTTAGGGCTGAGGGTTTACGGCTTGGTGGGCCTATTTGCAAAGCAGTCATGTATGCTTGCATAGGATGTCACAGCCTCAGCTCAGGTTTCTTTGGGCTTTTGCATTCCCACTCTACGGACCTCCCCAAAGGAGCTGAAAAGCCCGAACAACCTCAACCCTCAACCACAATCCCTAAGCCCTAACCCCTAACCCCTAAACCCCAAACCCCAAACCCCAAACCCTATCCCAAGCCAGTCAACAACCTGACAGGCTTTGGTGGTTGTCGCTACCCTGATGGCAGCGGCTCTGCATGCACGCGCATCCAACGATGGCAGCGCTGACACCGCAATGCTCCTCGGTTTAGGGTTTAGGGTTTAGGGTTTAGGGTGTAGGGTGTAGGGTCTATAGGGTCTAGGGTCTAGGGTTTAGGGTTAGGTTTAGGGTTAGAGTTTAGGGTTTAGGGTTTAGGGTTTAGGGATTAGGGATTAGGGATTAGGGTTTAGGGTTTAGGGTTTAGGGTTGAGGGCCTAAGGGCCTAGGGTTCAGGGTTTAGGGTTTAGGGTTTGCGGATGCTACGGCATCGTGTAGCAGGTTGCTGCTTAGGGTTTTTGATGATTGAGCGTGCGATTTCGGACGTGAGTCTTGGGTCCCTGAGTGCCGTGTGCTTATGGTTTCGTCAGGGCTTGTGGTTTAGGATCTCCAAGCTCTGAAATCGAGAGCCCAAGCCCGAAAGAAGCACGAAACCCGAAAGCCTCAAAGCTTCAGTGAGGTAGAGGGTCCAAATACACTATATTTGCGGTTTTCGGTCCCCAAAACCTCAATCTCAAGGGATTTTGGTGGGCCATACAACCAAGTATGGGGGGTATTTGGACACTTTGGGCTCAGCTATGGATGGATCCTGAGTCTCAGAGGTCCCAACTTCCCGCCCCAGAGGTATTTAGGGTTTAGGGTTTAGGATTGAGGGTCGCATGCTAGGGCAGCTGATAGCCGAAGAAACCTCCGCCAAGGTGCACTTACAACAATGGCCGCTGCAGCTTGGTCAGGCGGCGGCTGGTGGTAGTGTCAGTCGCGGTAGCAGTGGCGCTAGTAGTGGCAGTGCTGGTGCTGGTGCTAGAAGTCGTAGTCGGAGGAGAAGTAGTAGTAGTAGTAGTAGTAGTAGTAGTAGTAGTAGTAGTAGTAGTAGTAGTAGTAGTAGTAGTAGTAGTAGTAGTAGTAGTAGTAGCAGTAGTAGCAGTAGTAGTAGTAGTAGCAGTAGTAGTAGTAGTAGTAGTAGGAGGAGGAGTACGTTTAGGAATTGAAGTAGAGCATGTGGCAGGGGTAGGTGGGCGCAGTGGTGAAATAAGCGAAACCTTTTGCGAAACCTTCTGCTATGCATCAGAAGGGCAGTTTACATCTTGGGGTCTAGGCTTTAGGAATCCAGGGGGAAGGGGACCCTTGTTGCCGTCATCGCCTCGATCTCCATCCCAAAACCTCAAGCCCATATCCAAAAGCCCGTACTAGTCAAGCTTGTGCGCTGAACCCTTCTCGCAGCTTGCGCAAACCAAAAAACAATTCTCCGCATGAGCTGTCTGCAATCAGGGATTTCATATGAACACGTTTAAGAAACAGACATGGAAACCCTAAACCCTAAACCCTGAACCCTGTACCCTGTAATTACCTTAACCCTCATTGAACCCTAAACCCTAGTAAAGGCCATGAAATCCTGGACCTCCAGCTCAGGCAACTCGCACGGGGATCCGAAGATGAATGTTGCGGCGCCGCGCGCTCTGACGGCAGTTGGTCGATCGAAATGGTTGGCTCTCTTTCTGCAGCACCCCCAATGACTCGGACCGGGAGTAGGCCCTGTTTTCCTTTTTTTAGGGTTGGGGTTCCCGTATAATCCCCTTAAAAGCAAAAAGGGTACCCTTGTTAGTACTAGGTTACTCCGGGTCTAGATGGTCGTATGTAATAGTTTTATGGTTCAGGGTTTAGAGTATATAAGGTTTTTGCAGCACCCTCAATGTACGTATGTTAGGGTTTAGGGTTTAGGGTTTAGGGTTTCGGGAATGTATTGTTTGTTGTCCACGAAAGAGGACACTGGTGTGTTTAGAGCCACCAGACATTTGCAAGAAAGCCTCCAACAGTCACCAAAGCTCCCCCGGCATTACTTGGAGGTTCATGGGCACTTGTAAGTAGGGTTCAAAGTAGGGTAACTATGGCGATAACCTTATTTGAGATACTTGTAACTCAAATGAAGCTTCAAGTAAGGCTTCGAGTTCATTGGAGAGCTCGTGCGTCCGGAGACGCTGGGCTATGGTTAAGCAATTAAGCAACGTTCATTACGTCAACATGACACGGTTGTGTAGCAAGTTACCCTAAAACCTAGAAACCCGTTAGAAACCCTAAATGGCCTATGAGTAGCTGAGTCATGAGTTCTTCACCCATGAGCCGGCCACTGTATGTAGTAAATTCCTGAAACCTTAAACCCTAAACCCTGAACACTTAGTAGCATAGTTGCCTGATGAGTTTTTCAGAATCCAGGACTGAGAGCGACTCTGACCATAATGCTTTGCTGTGCCGTGTGCAGCGGCCAGGCATGGCGGGGACGGCTTCATGAGCCCTTACCGTCCGCCCTAAATCCTAAGCCCTGAGCCCTAAACCCTAAACCCTAAACCCTGAGCCCTTAACCCTGCACCCTGAGCCCTAAACGACAAACCCCAAACCCCAAACCTAACTTCGTGCATTTTAAGCCCTGAACCCTGACCTCCAAGCCCCACACCTGACTTCCTGGTTTTTTTCTCAACAAAAGGGGTGTGAGGTTTCTAGAAAAGAGGATAAAGTAGTTGGTAGATTAGTGGGCTTTTACTTGGTGGCCCAGTGGTACCCTTTGTCTGTTTTGTTGGTTCAAGGTGCCCTTCGAAGGGTGGCCGTGTTGTACGATGGTTACTGGGCTACCCAGTTCATTACCCAGACCCCTGGGAGGATCCAAAAAGTAGATCCCCTTCAGGGTTTCCTAAAAAGGACCTGCTAGTAGTACACCCTAAACCCGGAACCCTAAACCCTAAACCTGGAGGATGCGATCTTCCTGAAAGTCAGACCCAAATAAGTCGTATTACAGGGCTCTGGGGTCCTTGATTTTGGGTAGGGGCTACTTGGGGGTTTCGGGTTTAGGGTTTAGGGCTAAAATTTAGGGTTTGGGGTTTGGGGTTTGGGGTTTGGGGTTTGGGGTTTGGGGTTTGGGGTTTGGGGTTTGGGGTTTAGGGCATGTGCGGAGCTTTTTTGGGGCAGGTGGCGAGCTCGCCCTGGTGTCGTGGAACGTGCTCTGCAAGCCCGGGCCTTGGGAGTGTTGGCCTTGTGCTTGTAGGGTTCAGGGCTTAGGGTTTAGGGTTTAGGGTTTGGGGTTTAGGGTTTAGGGTTTAGGGTTTAGGGTTAGGGGTTTAGGGTTTAGGGTTTAGGGTTATAGGGTTGAACCCTAAGCCATAAGCCCTAAACCCGAAACCCTAAGCCGTTTGAGAGTTGAGAGCTTCGGGTTGACGATTTAGGGGTCTAGGGTTGAGGTTGAGGGTTTTGAGTTGAGGGTTTAGGGTTTAGGGTTTAGAACTAGGCCGTATAATCCCCATAAGGGTTCACGCTTTAGGGTTTAGGGTCTAGGGTTTAGGGTTTAGGGTAAGGGCCTTTTGAAAGGGTTATAGGGTATGATAGCCCGTCCTGGCAGGCAGGCGTCAGCAGCAACTGCAAGCACTCGTGTCTTTAAAGTCACCAGAGCCACCACCCTCCACATCACGAAGACGGCCCTGCGTCCCCAAACCCTAAACCCTAAACCCTGAACCCTGAACACTGAAACCCTCAACCCAAAACCGGAACCCTAAACCCCCCCAACCTCCTCAAGCCTACATAATCTCGAGGTTTGGCTTCAACGAGCGCTTTGGCTTTCCTTACGACGGCTTCAATCGGCGCTTCGAGTCGGAGGTCGCGATTGCTTCCGCCAGTTGCCAAGAGTACAACAAAAGATCACGAAATTTCTCATCTTGAAGATCACACTTAAAACTTTACATATGTTAGGGTAATACAGCTTCACGAATCTTCAGAGGATAACCGGATAATTTTGAAGCCAAAGCACCGAATAATTGGTGGAATTCGAGATGTCTTCAAAGCGTGAGTGGCAGGCCTCCTATTTGGAGCGACTGGGGCGCATATCTGAGAAGGTGAAGGCTTTTGCCCAAGCTTATCGGCCGGATGCCATCTTGATTCAGGAGCGGAGTTTTTTCCGCAACTTCCCCAGACTTCCCATGACCCATTTTATTAGGGTTTATTAGGGTTTCTTAGGGTTTAAGGACTCATTGCGAAAGGAAGTGTCTCTCTTCATGTTGCTGAGACAGCACAGGCGTCCTTCTTGGTGCCAAGGTCCACGACTGTAGTTGAAGGCTCGTTATTTCTTTTTAAGAGCTTCTTTGGCTTGAGATTGCACATCCCCTGTACCCATGAGATTGCAGAACCCCTGTACCCATAGATAACTTTGTCTAGGAAATGTTTGGGTTTGGGGTGTAGCAACGCGGAAAGAGGAGAACGCAGATGCGAAGAAGAACGAGTTCGGCTACGAGGCTTTGCCAGCGATGCTGGCACCACTGCAAGAGCAGGGCTACATGATCCTTCAGGACCCTGAAGCCCCTAAACCCTCTAAACCCCCTAAACCCCCTAAAGCCCCTAAACCCCCTAAAGCCCCTAAACCCACTGCACCCCCTACACCCCCTAAACCCCCTAAACCCCCAAAACCCAAACAGCCCAAAGCCCTGAAGCCCTCCGACCCCAAAAGATGGCCCAAGTCCAAAGCATCTAAGACCTTGAGACCCCGAAGGGCTTAGGGTTTAGGGTTTGGGGTTTCAGGTTTCCCTAAACCCTAAAGCCCAAACCCTAAACCCTAAACCCTAAGCCCTAAGCCAAAAACCCTAAACAAGCCTGAACCGCGAGCCAGGAGGGAGAGTTTCTCACCGCTGTGCTGGATCGCAGCGGAAGCTCTTTCACTTTGGAGCTGCCAGAGCTTCGCCGCATGCAGGGTGACTTCCTTGCAGGTAGGGTTTAGGGTTTCGGGTTTCGGGTGTAGGGTTTAGGGTTCGGGTGTTTTGAGGCACATGAGCACTAATCATTAGGGTTATAAGTAGGGCAAGCGTGGTTATAACGTTTTCTGGGTACTTAGAACCCTCCTTCGAAGTGTTCATGGACCTTCCAGTAGACCCTTAACCAGATGAGTTTCAGGGTTTGTCCTGTGTGCACATGGTGCAGCTGGATCCTGAGATAGGGTTCACGGTTTTGGGGTAAAACCCTAACCCCTAACCCCTAAACCCTAAACCCTAAACCCTAAACCCTAAACCCTAAACCCTAAACCCTAAACCCTAAACCCTAAACCCTACATTAGTGCGGTAACCATGTCCTCTGAGTTGCTTGCACGCGCCAGTGACGCTTCTGCTTCAGTGTTGGCACCTCAGGGACAGGATTTAGGGTTTAGGGTTTAGGTTTAGGGTTCAGGGCAGGGTTTAGGTTTAGGGTTTGGGGTTTGGGGTTTAGGGTTTAGGGTTTAGGGTTTAGGGTTTAGGGTTTAGGGTTTAGGTTTCAGGGTTCAGGGTTTAGGGTTTAGGGTTTCAGGGTTCAGGGTTTAGGGTTTAGGGTTTCAGGTGTTGGGAGATTGTCCTGTCTTCGCGGGCATAAGGCAAAGTTCACGCCGTGCGGAATCCTTCGCTGAACGTGGTGATCTTGAACGTGCATCTGACTTTCGACCAACATGGCACCGAAAACTCAAGGACCAGGCTTAGGGTTTAGGGTTTAGGGTTTAGGGTTTAGGGTTTAGGGTTTAGGGTTTAGGGTTTAGGGTGTAGGGTTTAGGGTGTAGGGTTTAGGGTTTGCGGTTTGTAGGGTTTGGGGCCTAGGGTGGTTTTGTCTTACTAAAGAGTATGTACATCATTCCTTGCTTTTAGGGTGCAGGTCCCCTTACAAGCCCCTTGAAATCAAAAGGGGCACCAACCCTAAACCCTAAACCCTAAACCCTAAACCCTTTTTGTTCCTAGGTTACCCTGGGTCTAGTCAGGGTTTGCATGACTAGGATGTGCAGGGTTTAAGGTCTAGGGTGGTTTGTAGGGCTGCAGGGTTTGTACGTTTGTTCGGGCCTAGGTGGTTAGGGTTTGCTGGGTTGGTTGTGGGGTGTTTAGGGGCTTTGCGGGTTTCGGGGATTGGGCAATATTTAGGGTTCAAGGTCTAGAAATGACGGCGAACACGTCGGGTTTGGGTATCAGGGTTTAGTGGTGTGCAACACGGGGTTTAGGGTTAAAGCTTCTGCGAGGAAGACGCGACGGGACCTAGAAGTCCTCTGCGAACGTTACAACGCGACTTGGCGTCGGAATGTGCAGCGCGCCTGTTGCCTCAAAAGGAGGTCATGCATCGCCAGGGGGTGGGATAGGCGGTGGGTTTTCTTTTGTGTCTCTAAACAAGCAGGTTCCTGGTATAAGGTTGAAGATAGCAAAATGGGGTCCCCCATTTTTGTGCACGGCTTGAGCTGGCGTCACAAGGAGAAATTTCCCGGGACCTCCATCATCTTGGCTGGTGACACAAATCGGGTACCTCAACTGGATCGACTGGATGGAGCTGCGGAGGCCACTGGAGTATAGATTACTGCAGCAGGATGGCGAGGGAAACCAAGTTCCTATGTCATAGAAGGATCCCTGCTTGGAGGTTCATGGGGATAAGTAGGGTTAGAAGTAGGGTAACAGTGGTTGTAACCTTGTGTGGGGTACTTGAGAGCCCTGCGTATAAGTACCCATGAACCTTCAAGTAGGAAGCTTAAGGTACATTCCTTCAAGATGATTGGGGCTCCCTGAATAGCTGCCAGAGGGCGCAGAAGCCGGGGGAAAACCCTAGACCCTAAAACCCTAAAACCCTAAAACCCTAAAACCCTAAAACCCTAAAACCCTAAAACCCTAAAACCCTAAAACCCTAAATCCCTAAAACCCTAAAACCCTAAAACCCTAAAACCCTAAAACCCTAAAACCCCTAAAACCCTAAAACCCTAAAACCCTAAAACCCTAAAACCCTAAAACCCTAAAACCCTAAAACCCAAACCCTAAACCCTAATCCTTAAACTGGACCTCAGGCCATCGAGCAGCTCATCGATGGACTCGGCACCCTGTACATGCCCCCGGGCCCGACGAACGTGCGATACGACAGCAGCATGGATGCGGACAGGGTTTAGGGTTTAGGGTTTAGGGTTTAGGGTTTAGGGTTTAGGGTTTAGGGTTTAGGGTCTAGGGTCTAGGGTCTAGGGTCTAGGGTCTAGGGTCTAGGGTTTAGGGTTTAGGCTTTAGGGTTTAGGCTTTATGGGGGTTTAGGGCTTTTCGTGCCTGGAGGCTCAGAGATCAGTGGGCTCCGCTGTCTAAAGATCCACAGGGTGATGACCGTTCTTACATAGGTACAGGTCCTCGGGATAATTAGTATTTGCCCTCATTGAGTTCAAGAGGAACCCATTTAGAATATGTTTTCGGAGGGTTGGGCTATCCCAGCTACGCCTGCAGCAAGGCTCTTAGGGTAGTTACATGGTCCCTTGTAACACCATGTACATACCCTGTACAAATTAAGGGTGCATACTTCAGAACCGTTTAAAGAGGGTAAGGGACCATAAACCTAAGCCCTAAACCCTAAACCCTAAACCCTAAACCCTAAACAGAGCAAGGCAAAACAGAAAGCAGCGAGTTCACCTATGCAGATTTTGTTGCCGACCTCACAGTGCAGACCTGATGTCGCACACGCGCACGCGGGCATTTGCTTTCGGGTTTAGGGTTTAGGGTTTAGGGTTTAGGGTTTAGGGTTTAGGGTTTCCGTGTGAGCGTGTGATTTCCGCATGTTGTACAGGATGCATGCTGTACAGGATACATGCTGGTCCTGCACAAGTGCGGGCGTGCCATCCTCACAAGATCGTGAGATCACAGGGCGCGACTGAACGTGTGTGCAGAAATCGTGCCTGTCGCAGCTGTTGAATCCCTGCACTCTCCAAAAAGGAGCTGGGGGGGGGGGGGGGGAGCGGGAGGGGGGCGGGGCGTCCTACATTCCCGTACCCCTAAAACCTAGAAGAGTCCCTGTCGGAGGGTCGTTTCTCGAAAGGGTTCTGTGGCACCCTAAACCCTATACCCTATACCCTATAAACCCTAAACCCTAAACACTGAAGGGGCGCCCCGGCAAGCACTTCAGCACTTCAGTTCAGCCGCATGGGTCGGCTCGGGCTTGCAAAGTCCAAAGTGAGTTCGGTGGTGGGGGTTTAGGGTTTAGGGTTCAGGGTTCAGGGAAGAAAAACCCTAAACCCCTGAACGTCTAAACTCCTACACCCTAAGCCCTAAACCCTGTAAGTGCCACAGCCCCACGCCATTAAGGCCCGAAAGTGGGACATCACTGCAGCCGTGCAGCAGTACAAGGCTCGAGAACCTGAACGCAAAAGTGGGATCCAAATGAGCCGGGTCTAGGGTCTAGGGTCTAGGGTTTGGGAACCCTAAACCCTAAACCCTGGAACCTTGTTGATGCCTCCAGTAAGCCCACATTCCTCCAAATCCCAGTGTCTCGCAAGTCTGGCCGCAAACCCGTAAATCCCTAAGACCAAAGGCTTAGGGTTTTTGAGTCCCTGGCCCCCTACTTGGAGGTTCATGGGACTTAGCAACCCAACTATGCGTGCACTTATAGCCCAATTATAATTCCTTAGGGTACTTAAGGGGCTTAGAAGTGGGTTATACCCACACTTATAAATGGGTTCTAAGTCTGCCAACCCAAACTCCAGCATTCTAGGACCCCCATTGACGAACCCGGCGAAAAACATGCGTGGCGCCCGGAGTAGTATGCAATTTTCCTGCACCTTTTGACACTAGACCCGAAACCAGATCCGATGTACAGGGTATAGGGTTGAGGGTTGAGGCTTACAGTTTATTTGGTTGAGGGTTTAGGGTTGAACTTGCCAGGAGACTGTGCGCTGGCGCCAGGAGCAGTGGGATTCCGGGGAAGCAGGGTCAAGGATTTTGGGGTTTGGGGTTTGGGGTTTAGGGTTTAGGGTTTAGGGCCTAGAATCCCCATAATCAACCCTCTAAACGGGCCTTTTCAAAGGGTTCTAGGGTACCTATAATCCCCCATAATCAACCCTATAAAAGGGCAAATTTTAAAGGGTTGCAGGGTATAATATGGTATATTCCCATAATCAACCCTATAAACGGGCCTTTTTAAAGGGTTATAGGGTATAATAGCCGGTCCTGGCGGATTGCCCGGCGAGGGATCTCACAGATTTCACCTGTACAATGAATGGCAAAAGCGTCAAAAGCATCGTGGAAGATCAAGGAACGGCAAAAGTCACTATTAGCCTTTCGCACTGGGTGATTTTCTTCAGGTGGTTGGTGTGCTATTATGCATCTTGAAAGTGGTGCGACCGTAAACCCTAAAACCTAAAAAACCTAAAACCTAAACCCCAAACCCCAAACCCTAAACCCTAAACCCTAAACCCTAAACCCTAAACTGTCTCATGCCCCTCGCTGCCGTCACCCCCAGCATGCTCGCTGTCGATGAGGGTAAGGCTGCCGGGGGAGACCTTGGGAACCCAGGAGCCAAAGACCCTGCGACCCTTATACACGCCGATTTGAGGGTTGGGGTATAGCGTATAGGTTTAGGGTTTAGGGTTTGAGGTTTAGGGTTTCGGGCTCAAGGAGAACGAAGTTGCGCGCTTCTGCGCCAACGCGCCCGGGCCGGCGGCCAACGAGTTGTCTGAGGAGCGGGCTTGGATTGTTTAGGCTGATTGGGGAGGCTTCAAAAGTAGGGGATTGTGCAGCTGGGTTTAGGGTTTCGGGTTTAGGGTGTCAGGAAAACCTGCACGAAACCTCTAGAAATCTAAACAGTTTAGGGTTTCGGGTTTAGGGGTTTTGGGGCTTACGGGCTTACGGGCTTAGGGGTTTAGGGTTTAGGGTTTAGGGTTTAGGGTTTAGGGTTCAGGGATTGCCCCAAAACCCCAAACCCAACACCCGGCACATGCGCAGCCTCGGAGGCCCAGTTCTCGGAGCTGTGCGTGGATGGCGTTGAGTGCTTCCCAGGCCCGGGCTCTCCGTTTAGGATTTAGGGTTTAGGGTTTAGGGTTTAGGGTTTAGGGTTTAGGGTTTAGGGTTTAGGGTTTGGGGTTTGGGGTTTGGGGCTTAGGGTTTGGGGTTTGGGGCTTAGGGTTTAGGGTTTAGGTTCAGCTCATGTTAAGACTCGTACCCCTAACTAAGGTTGTGCCCCTAAAGGTTCCCCTTGATATATCCCAAACATGGCCCTTACACTACCTTAAGGACCGGGGGGCTTGATCAAGAGCCAAACGCATTGAGCCTTACGAAGTCTTGAGCACAAGCAGGCAAACCTCGAAACCGTAAACCCTCAGCCCTCGGAGGTTGCGCCAGAATAGGGCACCCCGGGGCCCAGCCCTGAACCCAAACCCCAAGCTGCTGCGCAGCTCTACGTCTTACGAATTGCCGAGACAGTGAAGGGGCATGGTTCTGGTACGGCCTCACGGAGCCTCGGCTACCGGAGGGGTTTTGGGGGGGAGTTGCACGGCATTCTCGGACTCGTGGGCTCCTCAGCTGGAGGCCAAGGGTTCCGCATTTTTATCCTTGGGGTTTCTGGTTTAGGGTTTAGGGTTTAGGGTTTAGGGCTTGGGAATCCTTCAGGCTTAGGGTTTGGAATTTCTTCACGCTTAGGGTTTAGATTCCTTGGGGGCCGGGCTTGTAAGAGCTTTGGGACTCTGGGAGGGCAAAAAGGTTTAGGGTTTAGGGTTTAGGGTTTAGGGTTTAGGGTTTAGGGTTTAGGGTCTAGGGTTTAGGGTTTAGGGTTTAGGGTTTAGGGTTTAGGGTTTAGGGAGCCTTTGGGGGTGTTTCCCCATCCACGCGGTCAGGGGTGGCGTTCCAGCCTGCCTGGGCTTTGTATTCGGGTAAGAAGGCGTTTGTCTCAAAATGTGGTGCTTCAGGCTTAGGCCTAGGCTGAGTCTTGGGGGAAAAGGGACAAGTAGGGCTTATGCTTGGTTTAGGGATTTGGGTTAGGTCCGGTTTACAGACGCTTGCGAAGGGTTTATAAGAGAGAGAGAGAGAGAGAGAGAGAGAGAGAGCAAGAGAGCGAGCGAGCGAGAGAGGGAGAGAGACAGAGTGAGTGAGTGAGTGAGTGAGTGAGTGAGTGAGTGAGTGAGTGAGTGAGTGTGTCTCTAAACCCTATAACCCTAAACTTCTAAGCCCTAGACCCTGTAGAATGTAGAAGCCGTCGGACACCAGACTGCGATGCCCACGGCCCTAAACCATTAGGAAGGCCTGTTTGTTTCGGGGTCCTTCTTAAGGAACTGCAAAGATGACGGTGCAAGAACAGGGCTAAACCCAAAACCCTAAACCCTCAACCCTAAACCCTAAACCCAACCCTCAACCCTAAACCCTAAACCGTGAATCTTAGGTCTAGTAGTAGTTCAAGGTCCTTAACAACAACAGCCCAGTCTTGCGGAGGGGGGGGCTTAGGGGAACGCGGGCTTTGTTTGGGAGGTCTAGCGGTTCGTCCTGGCCCGCCACCGTAAACCTTTTCACCCTTAACCTGAAGCCCCAAAAACTAAACTACCAAGCCCTGACCCCAAACCTTGTAACAGTAAACTCCCAAACCCCCACACCCTGAACCCTAGACCTCATAACACCTAAGCCCTAAATCCGAAACCCTAGACACCCTAAACCTTATATGCCCACACCCTCAACCCTAAACCCCAAACCCCAAACCCTTTAACCCTAAACCCCAAACCCCAAACCCCAAACCCCAAACCCTAAACCCTAAACCCTAAACCCTAAACCCTAAACCTAAACCCTAAACCCTCAAGACAAAATAAATAGAAATTGTATGTGGTATCAATCTGAATTTTCCAAGATATTTGTCTAAACAGCTGACAAACAGAGTTTAAGTAAATTAATCCAAAGTGGGAGGCCGGGAGGCCAAATGTTCAATTTACTTAAACCTCTGGGGCCTTCCCGGGCCCCGGCAAACCAAAGCCCAAATCGCCTCCCAAAGCCCAAAATTGGCTTCCAAAACCCCAAATTGTCCCAAAGCCCAAAATTAGCTTCCCAAAACCGAAAATTGGCTCCCAAAACCCAAAACTGGCTCCCAATCGAAATTGGCTCGCAAAGCCCAGCTTTAAGCTGAGGCCCAACCTTGGTTTCAGTGCCAGGTTCAGCCCCCACCCCAAGTCCCAGCTGAGCCCAGCCAGCCCAGAGCCCCAGCCCCAGCCCCCCCAGCCCCCCAGCCCCCCAGCCCCCAGCCCCCCAGCCCCCCAGCCCCCCAGCCCCAGCCCCAAAGCCTACAACTCCACCCCCCCCCCTCCCCCCTCCCAAAAATGAAAAGCATAGTTCCAAAAAACAAAACGTTTCGGTCAAAACGTTTCGGTCAAAACGTTTCGGTCAAAACGTTTCGGTCAAAACTTTCGGTCAAAACTTTTTGGGACCCAAACCCTATACAATTTCTATAAACCCTAACCCTACAGGTTCCGGGTTTACTTCCAGGTGTCCATGTTGAGTCGAAGCTGAGGCGGCCTTCGGCGTCGATCGCGAGGGGCGGCCCATCCACCTCCAGAAGCGGGATCCCTGGGGTTTGGGGTTTAGGGTTTAGGGTTTAGGGTTTAGGGCTAGGGTTTAGGGTTCAGGGTTCAGGGTTCAGGGTTTAGGGTTTAGGGTTTAAGGTTTATAGGGTTTTGGGTTCAGGGGTTTAGGATGTATAGGGTCTAGGGTTCATTGCAGGGTTTACAGGGCTTTGGGTTTACAGGACAGGATGCCCAGTAGTGCCCTTATTCCCTTTTTAGGCTCCCTAAGCAAATATATCCGCAAAGAGCACCCTTTTTCCTCCTAGGTTAGTGGGCATCCCAGTAGGGTTTAGGGTTTAGGGGTTAGGGGTTTAGGGTTTAGGGTTTAGGGTTTAGGGGTTTAGGGTTTTTCGGTATTTAGGGGAAAGGAGCTTAGGGGCTTGTCGTGTGCTCCACGCGCACCACCACTCACCAGGTGGGACGCGTGTTGTGGTGTGCTCCTAGGTTCAACGGTAAACCCTAAACCCTAAACCCTAAACCCTACAACCTTACGGGGGTTTAGGGTTTTCGTCTAGTTCTTGGGAAGCCCTCCTCGCAAGTAACTGCCTGAACCCCAAAATGGGTGGGAGGCCTAAATCAGGGCCTCCGGGAGGTTTCTGGGAGGCAAACTTCCCTTTCGAAGGGGGGTTCGGAGTTCCGGCGCAGAGTCCCCGACGATAGTTTTTCTTGACTTGAAAACGGAAGAATGTCCAACCCCTCATCGGTGTACGCATGAGTCTCTTGAGTTGAAAACGGAAAAACAGACAACCCCCCCCCCCCTCATTGGTTTATGTAGAATGACCTTAGTTTGGCAACTTAGGTTACGCAAGTTCCTTAGCTAGGCTCCCTGCGAACCCGAACCCCTAAACCCTATGAATCCTACATAAACTGCAACCCTAAACCCTCAACTGCACCGACCCCACATCAGCCCCAAAGAAGGCAGAAGCCCTAAGAACCCTGTCATAAACCAGATAAGCCCTGCAACCCCCGCAGACCCTATAAAGCCTGTCCTACTTGCAGGTTAAGCCCCTGAAATACCCTAATGGGGTTATCTTTGCGTTCTAAGTACAGTTATCCTATGCCCTAAACCCGAAACCCTAAACCCTAAACCCACTAAGTACCATGAACCTCCAAGTAGACACCCTCTCCCCACATGTCAACTCTCATTGCTCTGGCTTCCGAGCTTGACCCTGAACTGTGTTGAGGGTTTAGGGTTTAGGGTTTAAGGGTTAAGGGTTAAGGGTAGGGTTTAGGGAAATTCCCTATTCCAAGAAGCTTGAATCCTTGTCCCAAAAACCTGAAATCCCTGAAGTCCATACGCCAGAACCCTAAACTCCGCACCAGAAGTCTCGAACCCTATGCCCTAAACCCTACACCTGAAACCCTCGACCCTAAACCCTAAACTTGACACCCTAAACCCTAAACTTGACACCCTAAACCCTAAACCCTAAACACTAAGCCCTAAACCCTAAACCCTAAACCCTAAACCCTACTCCTAAACCCCAAAGCTAAAGCACCACAGGGCTGGCTACGCCTCGCAGCGCTTTGCGGCTATGCGGGCTGGCCTTTCCATTAGCGGGAGGGCTTAGGGTTTAGGGTTTAGGGTTTAGGGTTTAGGGTTTAGGGTGTAGGGTGTAGGGTTTAGGCTTTCGGGTTTATAAGGTTTAGGGTGTATAAGGTTTAGGGTTTAGGCTTCAGGGTTTAGGGGATTTGGGGGCATTGGGGGCATCACATGGGCAATTCCTCAACATGATCTAAACCATGTTGTCTTTGTTTTGGTTCTCCGCCTCCCCCCCCCCCCCCCCGGCACAAGAAATGCTCCATATTGAAATTAGAACCTCAAAAGGGACCATAAGGGCACTTCTCGTTCTCGACGTGTTTGCTTTCGTGTTGCGGGCTCAGGGTCTAGGCCCAGGGTCATTTCACTGGATTCCTTTTTGGAGGTCCCTACCTTTTGTGCTGTAATGGGCCTCGAAACAGATTTGTTGTTTGTGAGAAATGTGAGAACATGGCTGCAAGGTGGAAAGCGACATGTTTTCGCCTATAGGTTGCAAACTCCTTCAAACTGGTTAGGGTTTGAGGGCTTTGGGTGAGTTTCAGGCCCAACCGCAATACGATAAACCACTTGGAGGCCATTTAGAGTTGGGATAAACCCTAAACCCGAAACCCTAAACGCAAAACGCTAACTTTAGAGTGTAAGGGTTTCTTCTCGGGTTAGTTTTTGGGGCTTTCGGACACAAACGCTGTCGGGCACACTGCAGACCGGCAGACCCATCCGTAAACTCCTAGCATGTATCTATGAGTTGTGGCCGGGCACTTCGGGCACCACTGCTGTACTTTTCAGACATCCTCAACTGCAAGCCCGGAACCCGGCCACGGTCACAGGCTGGGCCAGTGTAAACCCCTGGGCTGAAAAGTTGGTGGTCCTTTGCAATTTAATTTTGATGACGACTGCGTGAACGTCCCTGCACAGTTCTTGAAGAGTTCTCTGCTGCGAGTTTTGGAATCCAACGCGTCACGTAGCTTTTCACATCAGAGGTATGTTGCTCTCTTTAGCTTTGTTGCTCACGGCCCGTGCTGCTCCTAGTCCCGCAGTCCGGCGGGCAAGGCCCATCGTGAAGAGCCGAACCAGCAGAAAGCTTCCTCTCTTGGCCGTGTTTTGCTTGGGCATGTGTTGCGGCGTTGGGCTTTCCAGCTTCTGCGACACTTCTTGCAAGCTGCTTCACGTGAGGCAACCAGCATCCAGTCTGAGGCAAGCATTAAGAAAGTCCGTCCTTCATAAGACTTGGGCTTTGCTGAAGTAATAAATATTCAGACGTTTTTCATATTTATTTCAGTTTCGGCCCGGGCCAGATTCAAGTAATTTTCAGAAAACGTCAATCGCGGGTTGCGCTCTTGCACTTGCCGCTGAGGTGCTTGGCTAGGAACCCTAATGAAACCCTGCCACTAAAGCCACAAGCCACGGAAGGAGGGTTTAGGGTTTAGGGTTTAGGGTTTAGGGTTTAGGGTTTAGGGTTTAGGGTTTAGGAAGCCTCAACCACACCCGCTTGGCCAAGGTATGCTTTTGCCGGCGACAATGACCCCCAGCAGCATTCGCACGCAAGCGCTGAAAAGCATGAAGCGCCCCACACCCTAAGCTCTCCAATGCAATTAGGGTTTAGGGTTCAGGGGTTTTGGTGTTCAGGGCTTTAGGATTTAGTACGACTGGCTTGAGAATCCCCTCCCGAAAAAAACGTCCTCCTTACAAGGCAAATTTGGGGAAGGTTGCTTTTCATTTTCTGGGGGTCTTAAGCAAATCGTAGTTTAGGCTGCGGTCTGCATAGCCAATGCAAAAAGAATCCTCTGTCTAAGAGTCAGGCCTACAAGTTTCCCGCGCACTGGGATGCCTACGTAACCCGCAGCCCTAAATCCTAAGCCACTCTACAACCTTACATCCTGAACTAAGCCCTAACCCCCAAACCCTCAACCCTCAAATCCTAAGCCCTAAACCCTAAACTCTACACCCTAAACCCCAAACCCCACATCCTACACCCTAAACCCACCATACTAAGGACGAAGGCTATCAACCCAAGCCAAAGCAACTCCAAGCACTTCGACCCTACACCCTGGGACACCAAGCACGAAAACAAAAACAACCTTGCCAGACTATTCAGTAGGTGGTTTCGGGAAGCTTGGTTTCAGTCTAGGCCTTATAATGCTTGAACCTTAAGCTTTATGTGCCCTAAGCCCTGACCCGGGGACCCCAAGGTCTTAATGTTTCTGCCGCCTTTTGGCAGGGTTGGGCTTGGTAGTTTGTTGATTGTTCAGGGGGTGTAGGGTTTAGGGTTTTGATAGGGCTTAGGGTTGTACCACCTTGGAATGTTAGGTACCAAGTACCAAGATTGCATAAGAATGCTCCCAAAACCCTAAACCCTAAACCCTAAACCCTAAACCCTAAACCCACTTACCTGAATTCCGAAGACTGAAAGTGGGGTCGCTCCCTCAGTTCCTCTGCACCCGAAATTACAATTTGCTTCAGACCCCCCCCCCCCCCCCCCCAAAAAAAAAAAAAAAGGATAACATCCCTATATGTATTGCCCTTATAAGGAAGATAAGGAAGATAATTCTCAGGTTTTCCTTATCAGGAAGATAATTCTCAGGTTTTGGGGCTTCTTAAGCACTAAGTCGTAAACCTTTCCCTCCCCATAATCCTGGCAGCTTCGAAGTGCAGAAGATTTTTGGATCTTGGCATCCAAGGCTGGACACAAGCTCGTCTACGACGGCTACGTGCGAATGCAGGAGAACTGTAAACCAAGCAGGGTTTAGGGTGATGGGTGATAGGGTTTAGGGTTTAGGGTTTAGGGTTGAGAGTTTAGGGTTTAGGGTTTAGGGTTTAGGGTTTAGGGTGGGGGCTTTCTTGTGCAGCGTTTTGTTTTGGGGCGCCCGATGCTGGAACCTCGGGTTTTCGAACCTTCAGCCCTGAAAGCATCCTCAAACAACCTGGCCGAGAGGTCTGTTTAGGGTTTAGGGTTTAGGGTTTAGGGTTTAGGGTTTAGGATTTAGGGTTTAGGGTTTAGGGTTTAGGGTTTAATTAGGGTTTAGGGTTTAGGGAAACTTCTAGTAGCATTCTCGAGTTACAGGTACCCAACAGCCATCTTCAAGAGGGTTTCTGGGATACCTAGTCGGATGAAAGTTCTACAAGTGGGCCCCGTAAGTATGTCGTCGCCCCCGAACGCACCAAGCACTCTCACGTCCAGACTTCAGGGCAAATCCTAAGCCCCACACCCTAAACCCGAAACCTTAATAAATCCTAAACCCGAAACCCTAAACCCCAAACCCCCAACCCCAAACCCCAAACCCCAAACCCCAAACCCCAAACCCCAAACCCCAAACCCCAAACCCCAAACCCCAAACCCCAAACCCCAAACCTAAACCCAAACCCCAAGCCCCAAACCCCAAGCCCCAAGCCCCAAACCCCAAACCCCAAACCCCAAACCCCAAACCCTAAACCCTAAACCCTAAACCCTACGGCAGCCCGAAACAGATCACAGCACCCATGAGCAATGGGCGTCATGGATCGCTTCGCGCGCTCTGGACGGCGGTCTGCAGCCGCTGGAATGGCACCAAGGTGCCTGGGGAGGCGCTTCCTTGTAAACCGTGTTTTTTGGGGTGGGGGGGGGGTGGGGGGGGTTTGGGGTTTAGGGTTTAGGGTTTAGGGTTCAGGGTTTGAGGGTTTAGGGTTTAGGGTTTAGGGTTTAGGGTCTCAGGTTCCGCATACCTACACGCCCCCTGGAGGCAAGACGAGCCACAGCGAGTGCCCAAGTAGACAAGGATGTAGCGCCTCTGGCGGCACGAGCAGCCTTGAGGGGAGGGTTTTTTCTAGGGTTTAGGGTTTAGGGCTTAGGGCTTAGGGTTTAGGGTTTAGGGTTTAGGGCTCAAGGTTTGGGGTTTAGGCTTTAGGCTGTTGGGGGATCCCAATGGGAAGCCATGGAAGATTTGGGGTTTAACCTCGATTTTGGCTTGAGGGTTGCGGGGTGTAGGCCGCATGTTCACAATCGAGCTTTGTTCAAGACAGGGTTTAGGGTTTGGGGTTTAGGGTTTAGGGTTTAGGATTTAGGATTTAGGGGCTGTGTTCGCCTTGTTTTTGCTAGTTGGGGTGGGATAGGGCTCCATCATCTCTCATACGATCATATGAAGCCTTGCGTGTCCATTCTGGACATAGGCAGTGTTACACGCGGAGCCTCTGGGCTATGGTACCCTAAGCCCAAGGCTTTAGGGTTAGGGTTCAGGGTGTAGGGTTAGGGTTTAGGGTTTTGGGTTTGGGGTTGTGGGTTTTGGGTTCAGGGTTCAGGGTTCAGGGTTCAGGGTTCAGGGTTTGCGGTGTAGGGTTTGGCTTTAGGTTGTAGGGTTGTGGAACTACCTCTCCATGATAGATTAAAGCCTAAACCCCCTACAACCCCCAACCCCTCAAACCACAAGAGTCCCAACCCTAAACGGTCCTTTCTAGGGCTCGTGTGCCGAACCTCAAGCCCCTAAACCCTAAACCCTAAACCCCAAACACTAAACCCTAAACCCCAACCCCTAAACCCTAAACCCCAAACACTACACCCTAAACCCTAAACCCTAGACCCTAAACCCTAAACCCTAAACCCTAAACCCTACACCCTAAACCCTAAACCCTAGCAGGAGCGGCTCCTCGGCCCAGCACCAGGCGACTGGCGGCACGACTTTCAGGCTTTCAGGCGCGTGGCACGGGAGCTGGCGCGGCGGAGGCATGCCGTGCCTTGCCCGCACATGAAAGCTTTCGGGGTTTGGGGTTTTGGGTGGGGGGGGGGGGGTTTAGGGTTTAGGGTTTAGGGTTTTGGGGTTTGGGGTTTAGGGTTTAGGGTTTAGGGTCTCGGGTTTAGTTGGTGTAGGGTTTAGCAGAGCTTGGTGTCCTGAGTAGAGTTTTAGACTCTTTGTCGGGGGGCCTCTGAGGTTGTTTTTTGGGGTTAGGGTGTCTGGGTTTAGGGTTTTGGGTCCCTTTGTTGCCCTCAGGACCATGTGCAGCTGTGTAGGGTTTGCAGCTGCGCAGGGCTTTAAGGACTGTGAGTGTGCCAGGAGTAGTTCATCCAGCACCATGTGCCCTAAACCCTCTAGTAGCCCCACTTGCGACTCTCTCCCCCCCCCCCCCCCCCCCCCCCAAACCAAAAGAAAAACTTGAAATATGGCCCACATGCGTCTGAGGCAAAGGTTGATACTTGGGCCGTTTTTCAAGGGGTTGGGGTTTGGGGTCTAGGGTGCAAGTTCCAAGGTTTAGGGTTTAGGGGGTTGGCGAGGGTTCAAGCGGAAGTAGTGGAGGATCCGAGGGATCCTACATCCTCGCACTCCCGAACAATGCCCGTGTGGTTTTTGTCTTTCCTGAGGCTTATGCCTATTTCGGCAAAAGACTTGAACTTGAAGATTGCTTGGCTTTCTTGACTTCGGGTACGTTGGGGGTTTTGGGGGTTTTGGGTTTAGGGCTTAGGGTTTCAAGTTTTAGGTCCTAAACCCTAAACCCCAAACCTGAACCCTAAACCCTAACTCCTAACTCCTAAACCCTAAACCTTAAACCCTAAACCTAAACCTCCTGAATGTTGATAGCAACCCAGAGACAGGCTCTGCTCTCTCGGATGCTCGCTTTGATTCGAAGAGACGGGCGGCTGACCCTTGGAGTACAGGAGCGCACGAGGAATCAAACCTCTCCGGCCCTAAACCCTAAACCCTAGGTTTAGGGTTTAGGGTTTAGGGTTTTGGGTTTTGGGTTTTGGGTTTTGGGTTTTGGGTTCCCCAAGCCTTGCGAGGTTGCTGCCCCCTGTATAAGGGCAGCCCTTTCTGAATGAGGCCCCTAAACTCGAAACCCTAAGCCTTAAACCCTAAAGACAAAATTCAACCCGGAACTCTAAACCTTAAACCCTAAACCCGAAACCTTAAAACCTAAACCCTAAACCTTAAACCCTAAATCCTAGATTTCCTCACAGCGGCTCCTTCGTCAAGGGCCCAGAGGGCCCAAGAAGGGGTGCCAATTGGAGGGTTTAGGGCCGTTTGGTGTTTAGGGGCTAAGAGCCCTAAACCCGAAACCCTAAACCCTATAACCCCTATAATGAAACCCTATAAAACCTATAAACCCTATAAACCCTATAAACCCTATAAACCCTATAAACCCTATAAACCCTATAAACCCTATAAACCCTATAAACCCTATAAACCCTATAAACCCTATAAACCCTATAAACCCTAAACCCCTATGCTTTAGGCATTGGAGCCCCCCTTGAGGAGTACAACCTGGCTGTCGGTGCCTGCGCGAGGGCGGGGCAGTGGCAGCTGGCGCTGCACTTGCACCGCTCGCTGTCGGACGCACAGCTAGCGGCTGACCGGGCTACTGGGGAGCCCGATGAATCCCTAGGGTTTCCAGGGTTTAGGGTTTAGGGTTCGGGGTTTAGGGTTTAGGGTTTAGCGGTAAATCTGTATGAAGCATTGAACCCGATTTCAAGTCCCATTCTGAGTAGCTGAGTGAGTGCACTTTACACTTTTTGGGTTACGATCATCCCCTATAGAACTGAAAGTGTACACTGTTTTGGGGCTTATGAACTCAGCAACTATGCCATTAAGCCCTATACATCCCTGTAGATACCGATTAATCCGTATGAAGCTTATTGAACCCGAATGAACTCTATACATCCAGCTTATATTCCCAATAAAGCCGTAGAACACCCCCTATAAACCCCCGCTAAACCTAAAAACCCTATGAACTCCATCAATCTTGTAAGCCCTATAAGCCCTATAAACCCCATAAACCCTATACACCATCTAAACCCTTTTAACGTTCCGCCTCCATGGTTTGAGTGGGTGGGCTTGATGACCAGGTGTCTTACCAAAAAATGTGATGCGAAATTAGTGGCTTTAGGGTTTAGGGTTTAGGGTTTAGGGTTTAGGGTTTTGCTCCGACACAGAGTTGCAAGTGGGGCTCCTCAGGTTACCTACAATGCCACCATCGGCTCCTGCAGGAAGGAGGGGCAGTGGCAGTGGGGCCTACACCTCTTCCACAGCATGGCGAAGGTGGACATCGCCCCCAACGTCATCACCTGCAATTCCGCAATGAGCGTGTGTGACAGGTGGGGGTTTTACGAGAATAGGGGTGCCTGATTGGGGTCCTTATTATCTGGGTATCCTACTATTTGGGGGGGCTATTTTTGCTATTTTGGGGTCCCCTATTTTCGTCAACCCCCAGGCAGGGCCAGTGGCAGCTGGCGGTGCATTTCTTTCAGCTCTTCCCCCAACTTGGGCTGGCACCCTTGTCATCGTGGGGAAACATTTTGCACGTTTGAGGGTACTTAAACTCAACAAGGAATAGACATTTATATTATTTTCAGTACTATCCAACCATGAACTAGGCACCATGTTCAATATTTTACCAGCCATGAACTAGGTACCGGACATCATCAGCTTCACTGCGGCAATTAGCTCCTGTGAGAAGCTCGCACCCAGAGAGTGTGCGCTCATTTCCTTTTCTTTTAGGGGGGTAGGTTCCCTTACGAGCCCCTTTAAAGCTAAAAAGGGTGCCCTTTCTATTTCTTGGGTTCCTCATGGATCTAGGAAAGCGGGGCAGTGGCAAAGAGCGCTGCAGATGTTTGGGGGCATCTGCCATGCCCAGCTTACTCCAGATACTCGGCAGATTGTTTGGGCCTGGGACATTTTCTGTTTTTCCCTTATTGGGTTTTAAGAGGATCATCTTCAGGAACATTTGCCCTAAGCCCTAAACCCTAAACCCTAAACCCTAAACCCTAAACCCTAAACCCTAAACCCTAAACCCTATTTAAGGGGAAGGTTTTTTAAAAGGGCCATCCTAGGATATGATCAGCTGCAACGCCGTCATCACATCCTCTGCCAAGTCTGGGCAATGGCAGCTTGCCCTCCACCTCTTCAGCTGCATCTTAGGGATACCTGGAAATATGTTTTCCTTTTGGGGGTTTAGGGTTTAGGGTTTAGGGCTGCATCTTGGGGATACTTGGAAATTGTTCTTAGTTTTTGGGTACTATAAATCCTAAGAGACCATGCTTTTTAGTTTTGGGGTTTAGGGTTAAGGGCATCTTAGAGATACTTCGAGATATGTTTAGGGCTTTGGGGTTAGGATGCTATAAGTCCTAAGAAACGGCTAAGGTTTTATGGTTTTTGCTAGGGTTCCAAGTTCAGTATAGGCATGCCCCAATATCGCCTCTCACCTGACACGATCCTTGGCTTTCTTCTGGCTGGCTACCGTTTGGGTTTTTTTGTACAAGCTACAAGAAGGAGCTTTAAAGTTAAACGTTTAGGAGGGGTTCAGAAGTCAGCCGAGGATCAGCTGCAACGCCACCATAAGTTCATGCGAGAAGCCTGGCTCATGCTTGTCCGAGACTTCTTTTTTTGCTTGCATTGCAGATCCTACCCCTCTGTGAGCTCCCAGCTTCTTTTGGAATTAGGGTCTAGGATTTAGGGTTTAGGGTTTCGGGTTTAGGGTTTAGGGTTTAGTGAGGGCTTAGGGTTTAAGATCTTGAGGGATAGACTTTGCCCCCGCCTGGTAGCCTCTGGAAAAACCGCCAAGGAAGGGCGAGCAATGGCATGCAGCTATGCGGCTGTTTGGTTCCATGCCGCAGTGGCGGCTTTCCCCGGATGTCGTACCTTGTTTAGGGTTTAGGGTTTAGGGTTTAGGGTTTAGGGTTTAGGGTTTAGGGTTTAGGGTTTAGGGTTTAGGGTTTAGGTAGGGTTTAGGGTTTAGGGAGCACTTTCTCGGTAGGCCCTTGGGGCATTTGTTCATTTCCCTTCTTGGGTTAAGTTTAAGAGGATCATCTTCGGGAATATATTTCAGAGGGGTTCTATGAGCCATCCTAGCTTCCTTCCCTATGCCCTAAGTGGGTTTAGGGTTTAGGGTTTAGGGTTTAGGGTTTAGGGTTTAGGGTTTAGGGTTTAGGGTTTAGCCTAGGAACCAAAGCTGCAAGTCAGTGCTTCAGGGCCCTTTGAGCCTCAGAAAGCCTTTCTGGGCACAGGAAGCCTACATTGATCCTGATCTTAAACCCTAAACCCCAAACCCTAAACCCTAAACCCCATACCCTAAACCTTAAACCCTAAACCCTAAACCCTAAACCCTAAGCTTTTTTGCGCACAGGAAGCCTACACTGACACCATGACTGCCTGTCAGAAGTCGACGCTGTGGCAGCTGGCACCTCGATTGGCGGTCCGGAATCCTAAACCCTAAACCCTAAACCCTAAACCCTAAACCCTAAACCCTAAACCCTAAACCCTAAACCCTAAACCCTAAACGAGGAAGCTCTAATGGGATCGGAAGGCCTTCGGATCCAACCCCCAGTCCACCGGACTCAGGCTCTGGTGCTGTTTGACAACATGTCCCAGGCCCTGATTCTGCCAGACCTGATCTGCTACAATGCTGCAAGAACTGATTCAGCAAGTTTCGTGTTGAGGGTTTAGGGTTTGGGGTTGACTAGTATTGGTATTTTTGGTATAGTTTTGTTTGCAACGCCAAGGGACCCTAAACACCCCAACAACCTCATGGACAGCTGTGAGTTGGGATGTTCCCGCTTTATACTCAAACAGCAATAGGGATCATAGTACCTCCCCGTATTACATAATCCCTATTAAGGACTGTTTCCCTAAACCGTAAACCGTAAACCGTAAACCCTAAACCCTAAACCCTAAACCCTAAACCCTAAACCCTAAACCCTAAACCCTCCCAAGCTGTGAGGCTACCATGAACTGCTGCGCGCGGGGGGCGCAGTGGCAGCTGGCTCTGCACCTTTTCGAGGCCATGACCTCGCATGAGAACCCTCGAGGGGTTTAGGGTTTAGGGTTTAGGGTTTAGGGTTTAGGGTTTAGGGTTCAGGGTTTAGGGTTTAGGGTTTAGGGTTTAGGGTTTAGCGTTTAGGGTTTAGGGTTTAGGGTTACAACCTCAGCAGGTACACAAGACAAAAAGTGCAGTGCCATCGGGGGAGGGGGGGGGGGGGGGGGGGGGGG